GTCAAGTATCGAGAAGAAGAAGACAGCTAAGGAGATATGTGATCATCTCACCAAGCTGTACGAGGCCACATCGTTGCACAATAAAATTTTCCTTGAGAGAAAATTGTACACTCTCCGTATGCCAGAATCTACTTCAGTGACGGAGCACTTAAATACACTGAACACTTTATTTTCTCAGCTTACATCCTTAAGCTGTAAAATAGGAGAACAAGAACGTGCTGAACTTCTACTTCAAAGTCTATCGGATTCGTATGATCAACTGATCATCAATTTGACAAACAATAATGTCACCAGTCTAGTCTTCGATGACGTTGCAGCTGCTGTTCTACAAGAAGAAAATCGGCGCAAGAACAAGGAAGACAGACAAGTAAATCTGCAACAAGCAGAAGCGTTGACAACGATTACAACGATGAGAGGGAGATCAACAGAACGTGGCCAAAGCAGCAGTCAGAAACATGGTAGATCGAAGTCGATAAGCAAGAAGAATTTAAAGTGTTACAACTATGGAAATAATGGTCACTTGAAGAAGGATTGTTGAAGTCTAAATAAAAACTCCAATCCACAAGGCAATACCGCAAACACTTCAGATGATGGAGATGCTCTATGCTGTGAAGCGTCAACCACCGTGGAATGAAGAAAACGATTTGCAGATATATGACTCATTGATTCAGGAGCAAAATATCACATGACCTCAAGAGGAGAATGGTTCCATCATTATGAACCTGTCTCAAGAGAATATGTGTATAGTTGCAATGATCATGCCTTAGAGATCGTTGGCGTGGGAACCATCAAATTGAAGATGTATGATGGAACAATTAAAGTTGTTCGAGATGTGCGGCACGTGAAAGGTCTGAAGAAAAATTTATTATCCTACGGATTGTTGGATAATAATGCTAGCAAGATTGAAACACGGAAAGGAATCATAAAGGTGTTCCGTGGAGCGCTTGTGGTGCTGAAAAGTGAAAAGATAGCTGCAAACTTGTACATGCTGAAGGGAGAGACATTGCTAGAAGCAGAAGCCTTTGTTGCCTCATGTAGTTCAGATTCTGCAATGCTATGACATAAGAAACTTGGACACATGTCAAAACAATGAATGAAAGTCCTTATGGAGCAAAAGCTACTTCCAGGCTTAACAAATGTATCACTTACTTTGTGTGAGCATTGCATAACAAGTAAGCAGCACCGGTTGAAATTCAACACATCAAATTCTAGAGGCAAAAGTGTTCTATAATTGGTTCACTGTGACGTATGTCAAGCACCAGTAACATCCCTAGGTGGAGCAAAATACTTTGTCTCATTTATTGATGACTACTCCAGGAGATGTTGGGTGCACCCTATTAAGAACAAGTAAGACGTGTTTTCAAATTTCAAAAACTTCAAAGCGCGAGTGGAACTTGATTATGGAAATAAGATCAAGTGTTTCAGAACAGATAATAGAGGAGAATACACAAGCGAAGAATTTGATGACTTTTGCAGGAAAGAAGGCATCAAAAGACAGTTCACAGTGGCGAACACTCCTCAACAAAATGGAGTGGCAGAGCGAATGAACAAAACCTTGTTAGAAAAAACAAGAACAATGTTGAGGGATGCAGGCCTAGAAAAATCATTCTGGGCAGAAGCAGTCAATACCGCCTGTTATTTGGTGAATTTAGCTCCATCCACTGCAATAGAGCTGAAGACACCAATGGAGATGTGGACTGGAAAATCAGCTGATTATTCAAAACTCCATGTATTTGGAAGTATAGTGTACGTGATGTACAACTCCCAAGAAATTTCAAAGTTGGATCCAAAATCCAAGAAATTTAAATTCTTGGGGTATGCTGATAGAGTAAAGGGGTATCACTTGTGGGATCCCACTGCCCGCAAAGTAATCATCAGTAGAGATGTTATCTTTGTAGAAGATAAACTACAAAGAAAAGAAGACGATGATAGCGCTGAAAAGTCAGAGACTACTCATATACATGTGGAAAAAAAGTTTGAACAAGGAGATTCTTCTAAAGCAGAACCAGCACATGATGAACAAGAACCAGAGAGTTCTGAAGCTCCAACAACTCGTCAATCAGATCGTGTGAGAAGACATCCCAATTGGCACTCAGATTATGTTATAGAAGGTAATATTGCATACTGTCTTTTAACAGAGGACTGTGAGCCATCAACATACCAGGAGGCAATAAACAACTCATATGCTTCACTGTGGATGATGGCGATGCAGGAAGAAATTGAAGCCCTTCATAAAAATAATACATGGGACCTTGTGCCACTACCACAAGGAAGGAAGCCAATTGGTAACAAATAGGTCTTCAAAATCAAGAGAAATGGTGACTATCAAGTTGAGAGGTATCGTGCAATACTGGTGGTCAAAGGATATGCTCAAAAAGAAGGTATTGATTTCAATGAAATATTTTCTCCTGTGGTTCGACTAACAACAGTTCGAGTAGTTTTGGCAATGTGTGCTACATTGGACTTACATCTAGAGCAGCTAGATGTTAAAACAATTTTTCTTCATGGAAATCTTGAAAGAGAAATTTATATGCTCCAGCCTGAAGGTTTTGAAGAAAAAGAAAAGAAGAACTTGGTTTGCAGGTTGAACAAATCTCTGTACGGTCTAAAGCAGGCATCGAGGTGTTGGTATAAGAGATTTGATTCTTTCATTACGTGCCTTGGATATAACAGACTTAATGCAGACCCTTGTGCTTATTTCAAGAGGTCTGGTGATAATGATTTTGTTATTTTGTTATTGTATGTGGATGACATGTTGGTTGCAGGAACCAACAAAGATCATATTGAATAATTGAAGGCACAACAAGATTCTAGGGATGCAAATTCACCGAGACAGAAGTAATAGGAAGATTTGGCTTTCACAAAAGAATTACTTGAAGAAAATCTTGTCACGATTCAGCATGCAAGATTGTAAGCCAATTTCTACCCCTCTTCCTATTAACTTCAAATTATCCTCCAGTATGAGTCCTAGCAGTGAAGAAGAGAGGATGGAGATGTCTCGAGTACCTTATGCATCAGCAGTGGGAAGTTTAATGTTCGCTATGATATGCACAAGACCAGACATTGCACAAGCAGTGGGAGTGGTTAGTCAGTACATGTCGAATCCAGGAAAAGAGCATTGGAACACAGTAAAGAGGATCCTGAGATACATCAAAGGGACCTCAAATGTTGCATTATATTACGGAGGATCAAACTTACTAATCAATGGGTATGTAGATTCTGACTATGCATGGGACTTGGATAAAAGCAAATCTACTACAGGATATGTGTTTAAAGTTGCTGGTGGAGCTGTAAGTTGGGTCTCAAAATTGCAGTAAGTTGTGGCTACATCCACAACAGAAGCAGAATATGTAGCAGCTACACAAGCCAGTAAAGAAGCAATATGGTTGAAGATGCTATTAGAGGAGCTTGGGCACAATCAAGAGTATGTCTCTCTGTTTTGTGACAGTCAAAGCGCCTTGCATCTAGCAAGGAATCCAACATTTCATTCAAAAACAAAGCACATACGAGTTCAGTTCCATTTCATTCGTGAAAAGGTGGAAGAATGAACAGTAGATATGCAGAAGATCCATACCAAAGACAACATAGCAGATTTTATGACGAAGGCGATCAACGCTGATAAATTTACCTGGTGTCGATCCTCATGTGGCCTGTCAGAGACGTAAGCAACATGAAAGGTACAAGGTAGAAAGAATGGTGTGAAGATATGATTGTTCCAATCAAATCTTTAAGTGGGAGATTGTTGAAAATTGGCACACCAAATTGCATCATTAGTCAACATTATGGGTGGCAATTTTGTGGCATTAATGGGGCGGCAAAATTGGTCAAATTTGGCCACCAAATTGTTGAAAATTTTAGATGGTAAAACTATGCAATTAGTCATTATAATTTAGGGTATTTACAAATTAGTCCTTAAAGCTTCAACTATAAATACCCTAGCTCATTTAGCTTTAAAACTATCACAAAGCATTCTAGTTTTATTCCAATACTAGAGAATTTAGAGAGTTTCTTAAGAGTTATTTTCTCCTTTTTATCAAGAGAGAATTATCATTGTTTTCTCCTTGGTAGATCGAGAGAAGTTGTAATTCATATTTTCTCAGAGTAAAATTCTTCTACCGTTGCCCGTGGTTTTTACCCTATATTATTTAGGGGTTTTCCACGTAAATTTTGTGTCTCTTTTATCTTCATTTTTATTTTTCTCAAATTATTAGTTGCGATTTTACTCTATCCGATAGCCGTCTTCCGCAATACTTAAGAAAGACGGTGTCTAAAATAATGCTTCTGATTGTAAACGCAGGGATTTCAGGCACGAGAAGACCAAGAAGAAACGTGGATCATACAGGGGAGAACAGATGATTTCCATTCGCACTCGGTAAAATTCAATTACTCCGACAAAGAATAACACTGTCGGGCTCTGCTATACATTTATACCCTTTTCTTGCAATTGAGGAAATATGGAAAAATATATTAAGTGGAACTCAATGAAAATGCTCGAGTTTGTCTATCGAGTCTTCAGTTTTGTTTTGTTAGGGTCGGTTGTTTCATTGTTGATCTTCTAGATAATTGAAGCGTATATATTTCTCCAGAAAAGAACTTGACATATGGTTTCTCTTAAAGAGTGATGAAGCAAATGGCTGTTTTGGTTTGTATTGTTTTCTGCAGCAAATTTGCTATTCTGTGCTACTAATTTTAATATGACACAACTTTTGTTTAATGTATAATGTAATATATGAAGTTTAGATTGTTGTTAACTTATCATCATTTACGATTCTGTATTGTACAAGCAAATAATTATATTTATCCGATATAAAAAAAATAGGTGTATTTATTTATTTTGAAATTCAATTATAATTAAAGTTTAATATATTCCGTTGAACTAAAACTAAAGTTTTATGTAATGGCTAAACGATTCATTATTTTATAACAACAATTTCAGGCCTCGCCATGGCAGCACTCGGTTTAGAAAATTCATCACACGAAATATAACATAAAATTGAGCCACAAACATTTAGTTGACCAATCATGCAATTTTCTCGCCATTAAAGTTAAGCAGGTTGTCCATTGAAGGCGTCAGGATTAACATCATTGGCTTCCTGCTCGTCCACCCTCCGAGGAGATTGTTTCCCTGATCTGATCTTCCCTTTTTCTAAACTCAGGTATGTGTAATATGTCATTCCTGCAATCGCTATGAAGGCTCCGCAGATACTGGTCGCGCCCGGATTCGATTGGAAGATGTAATAATTCCCCAAAAGCAGCACGCATGTTTTAAACTGCCCAAGAACCACATGGGAGATGGCTGACGTTGCCCTGAAATCAAACTTCACCATTGATATAAGTACATAATACTCGTCGGTAATGTCACCAATATGAATCTTACCCGAGTGCCAATGCCGCTGACCACTGAAGCAAGAAGCCGAAAACGCCGGAGATTATAATCATGGATGTGTTGATGAAGTTCCAATTGTAGGAGAAGGCTCCCGGAGGATCCAAAATCGGAATCATAATAAGTAGACAAAACAACGATATCGGCGTCGTCTTCCACATCAACCTGCAGTTTGTTTTACGATTTCAGTACTCAGACTTAGCTAGAGCGATGTATGTATGTATTAATAGGAGAATTTCGCAATTAGCATACGCCAAGGCAGTCCAATTCTCCCGTTGTTGCAGACTGGACCAGAGGATCTTGCTTAATGCACTAGGAATAATCCAAGACAATGCAACGCTTGCACCAAACAGGTTGAACTGCAGATCGGTCACAGTGGCAACTGCGACACCGATCGATACAACCGCAAGTGCAACCACCTTGGGGAAAGAAACTTTCTTTTTATACCATAGATATTCTGCCAGAACGATCGTTGGCGTAACGGCGATCTTTGCCATCTGATAAAATCCAACGCTGCGGATAACAAAGAAAAGCATTTACTCAAGACCTTACTGATACTAGCTAGCTAGTAATAGTATATATATCCCACCTGTTGTACTTCAAGCTGACATTAGCAAGGCCGGTGCAGAGAGACATCACCAGTCCGAGAGTAAACAAAGGGGTCGACTTCAACGGTGGAGACGGAGGAATCAAAGACAGTGCATTCAGGACGGAGATCAGTGCCAAAGTTACTACGTAATGAATAAAACTGAGGAGCACAGGGAACTGGAATCCGGCATTCTTCAGCACCTGCAGGAAGATCAAAGGAAACTCCTGCATTCGTGTATATATTGAAGCGTTTGAGAGTAGGAGTTAGAATACCAACCCATTTGTTCATGAAAATGATGGCAATAGCAACAAAGAAATTGAACGTAAGCGCAATGCTCGGAGTGCAGAGGCGTTGCTGCAGATTCTTAGCCTTTTCCGATGTAGCGAAACTGTTAAACATCGATGCTCGCAACTCTTCCAGAGCTCTTCCTACGTAAACGTTATCAGAATTAACAAATGTTATACGAATTCAATGAACAATTCATCGAACATGTATGTTCTTTTACACCCTCGGTAATAATGATCAATGAACATGCATACCTGTTTCGCTAGCATCACTGCCTTTGCGCTTTAGCAGTCTCCTAATATCTTTGCTTAACAAAAAATTCACAATCTCCTGCCTCGTCAACATCGTTCTCCTCTATATTTGTCTAGAATTTAGGGTTTTCTTCTCTGCATTCTCATGTGAAACAATATATAAATCCATCAATGGAAAACGATTTACAGAAAATTAAGCAGATGATAAACGATGACAGAAATCGGAAAGGAAGAAAGAAAAGCTGAGTAATTTCCTTGTAAAGTAAGATGGAATTGTCTTGCCATAATGGCTGTCACACGTTCTCGTGGAAGAAATGTGTTCTTCCTCCTGCTTTTGAGACATATTTGCATTGAAATCTGTCTTTGTTTTCTAATTAATTTCATCATAATGCTCAAGTTTATTGTTGATGTTCGGCTTGAAAATACGAAATTCCAAACAATACATTTTTATTTTATTTGGAAACTGTGAAAACAATGGATTATGCCTAATTATAAGAAATATTATTATTAATGCATATTTATAATATAATAATATAATAATAAATTGTTAACATAATAAATATGAATTAATATTACAATAAAACTTTTATTTGATAATAAATTTTATAATTTAAAATATTAACAATTTAACTTTTATTATAATATTTAAAGGGTATTAGAATTTTATTTTAGTTATTAAATTTTTTAAAATTTATATTACAATCATTAAATTTTTAATTCGTTTTCATTATTATTACTTTCGTTTGCTTTCTTTAAAAAAATTCGATGTGACATGTTAAAAACTCTAAGCTTCTTAGTTTTGGTGAGCTTTTGTTAAACGAAGCAATCATCAATCAATTCTAATAATGGGAGGGTCCATTTATTCAGAAGATTAGTATAATTCGAATTTAAGTTGATATGATGGTTGATAGTGACAAATTAAAAAAAATAACTCTTAATTTTTATTGAAATTCGGGAATGTTGAATTCTAACAAGTTTGAGCTAAAAAAAAGATAGTTTAGTTTCGATCAGAGAAACCATAAAGGATAATAAAGACTAAGAAAATAGGAGGAACAACGTGCTTCAATTAGGAAGAAGAAAATTTAGTGGTTTTTACTCTGGCAAGCTAGCTAACAACAGTGGTTGTAATGAAATCGAATTAAAAGTTTAGTATCTATAATGCAAGTTTTATAGAATTTAGTGTATAGTGTGAAAGTTTTCTAAAAATTCAGTGACCATCAGTGTAGTTTACTTAAAATGTGAAACAAACACCCAATCTATTCGCTCATCAAACCCCAGGGAGGCATAGTGATCGAAACTCAGATCGGGAAAATGTCTCAAAAAACGAAAATGGCTCCGAAACTAGATGCCCAATCTGCCAGCAATGTCGTCGCCGCCGACGCCACCGCTCAATTCTCAATGGACCCATTTTTCCACGTCCTGAAACTCGTCCCCTACTCTTTCCTCCGTCCACTGCGCCTTCGCCTCAAGCTCCCCTCCTTCTCCCTCCCTTCCGCCATGACCGTCTTTTCTCTCATTCTCCTCACCTACTTCCTGGTGGTCTCGGGCTTCATCTATGACGTCATCGTGGAGCCCCCGGCATTGGCTCTACCCAAGACCCTGCCACCGGCGCCGTCCGACCTGTCGTCTTCATTCCGGGCCGAGTCAACGGTCAGTACATCATCGAAGGACTCTCCTCCGGTTTCATGTTTGTGCTTGGTGGCATTGGGATTGTGCTCTTGGATCTTGCCCTTTATAAAAACAGGGCTAAGAGTATCAAGGTTTCGTACTCAATTGCGGGGATCTTCTCCATTGTTATCGCCTATGTGATGACAATGCTCTTTATTGGCATCAAGATCCCTGGTTATCTTAGGTGAAAACATTACTTTATTAGCTACTATTAAAGTTTTTCATTTAGTTGAACAATTTTGAATAAAAATGACGTTCTCTTTACCTTGTTTTCTTTGGGCGTTTTATTTTGAACAACCTGAATTATGCGTGTAACATTTGCCTTTGGATTCGGGTTTTAAAGCTCTTAGGTTGGTAATTGGACACGTTTTAGGATGGATTAACAAGTTGAACATGAAGCATTTGTTGATCTACTATCTACTTTTATATTCGTAAAGCACGAGTGTTCTTCAAATGTGAGTTTATGTTTATAGTGAATGATTGTAGTTTTAAAGCTCTTTTGATTGGTAATTGGACATGTTTTAGGACGGATTAGCAAGTTGAACATGAAGCATTTGTTGATCAATTTTTATATTCGTAAATCACGAGTATTCTTCAAATGTCAGTTTATGATTACAGTGAATATGGTCTATCTAGGCAAAGAAGTTTTCCAGAACAAACTGGCCGAGTTAACCAAGAAATGAAGGGAAGGGATTCAGAGTCCCTGTTTAGAAAGTTATTAGGGAAAATGATCCAAGCTTGTGTATGGTTGGGACATTTTGTCCATGATGAGGATCTTCACCTTGGGCATTTCTTGTGTCTGCTGTTGCCTGCAATATATGCTAATTTTCAAGTTCTAGTTTATATTTCAGGTCATTTGTTACATTGGTGGATTCTAGCCTAAAGACTCGACCTAGCTAGTATTTCAGAATATATGATAATTTGATGTATTTTGTCTCTTACATGGCATTTATCCTGAACTCATGCGAATGTTTTGAATGAATTATGGTATCATTGTTGTTTTAACTCGTGCAAGCTTTGTTGACAATGTTGCCTTGCCTGTCATGGTTTTCCATAACATGCTTGCTTTTTCTTGTTGGTGTGTAATGAGAAAAAAGTATGATTGTTTTATTAGCAGGTTTGTTGCCTCCGAAAATTTTTAAATTATCATATATTTTAAATTTTTTTCTTTATATTTTTTATTGATAATCTTTTTTCGTCTTCCCTATAATTTTATAAGTTTGTCCCTCTTACAATTTTAAAATATTCATCATTTTAACATTAAATCTTGCGTCCGTCTTGTTTATAGGCTTATAGGTAAAAGATGAAATGTTATTATAGTTGCCTCTTGTATTCATAGAATGATCATGGCATCCGAAGAGGACCGGGATGTCTCAGGTGAGGCAGTCTTAATATACAACTAAAGAAAGGAGCTACCGGAAGGAAATATTATTTTTTAAATATTTCTGGTAAAGCGTTACTTAAAACATTTTTTTTTTACCGGAAATGTTAATATTGGGCGCTGCCTAAAATTTTATTTTTTTACCAATTTTTAAATAGCGAAATAAACATTTCCGGTAAAAAATTCCCGGTAAAAAATAATGTTTTAGGCAGCGTTTTATCGAAAGTGTTAAAAAATAATATTTCTAGTAATGTTTTTTTAATCTTATATTAAACTATCATACTGTAGAACTACCCGAAGAGGACAATATCGATTAGACTAGGTTGGTGATAATACAAACCGTTTTGGTATTGCTTGTTCTCTATGTCCCTTTCATGATAAGACTAAGTTGGCTGTCAAATAGGAAATTATAGGTGTAAAGATTCATTATAAAATTTTGGTAACCGTTTAAGTTCATTAGGTTAAATTTTGGGTAATTTACATTCTAATCACTATACTTAATTTTAGAGTTGACTTTAATTTGAATTGATATTAAAATTTCAAGACATAAAATGGAGATACTAGAAATGATGAAAACGAACAAAACCCATAAATTAACGTTAGATAATTTTGAGGTTTCATAGGAAAAACAACAATGACGATTGAAATCAAACACCGCTGATGTATAAATAAATCGTATAAATGAAGAAATGAATAAAGTGGTGAGTTGAGAATTTGACTTTGAATGGATAAGTACATTTCAATTTTAATTAACTGCAAGTAAATTTGTAATATAATAGATATGTAATTCTGTTCGTTATACCAATGTTAAGAACAAAAGCGACGGCTGATCAAATACCGTACCATTAAAAGATGCCATGCTACTTTGAATACGTGATACTTGGACCTTGTTTATATCATGAATCCGTGATAGTGGACCATTACATGGGTAATCATTTATGTATACAAGTTATATACAAACTCGGAACTATAAATTTATTATGGTAGGGTTAAAGTATATTTTATTTTTTATAAATATATATTTTTTGATTTGAGGGAGGTTGGTAAATTTTTTTCTTTATTTTTAGAAATATATAATTCTTAATATTAATTCATATTTTAAAAAATAATTGGTGGAATCCAATGCTTCCCGTGACCCTCACAACATTCCTCCCCTGATTATATAAACTTCATGATTGGATTTGTGTTATGAATTAATTGAATATTAATTTAATTATAAATTTATATAAAAAAAATATTAAGTTCTTTTTATAATTTTTTAATATTTTTGAAAGATTGATTTTACGTCGTATTTAGGTAAAATTTATGGATTTGATGCTGATTTGATAATTTTTTTAATTAATTTAATTTGATAAAATTATAGAAATACAATAGCTAAGAGACAAAAAAAAATGAAAATGAAAATATTTTTAATTAATCTAAGGTGATTAAAATGTAATATATGTTATAAAGACTTATAATCATATGAACGAAAGCTCAAAACATCCTTTCAATCTCTTATGCTCGAACCTGAAACGACCTCTAAAAATAAAAATCTTCCCTTGAACTATTGAGATAGTTTCGTTCGTACAAAACTAAAATATTTTTAAAAATTAAAGATAAAATAACATCAAACCAATGTATTGTTAAAGTAATAAAAATTTATAATTTTTCCTACAATTTGATATTTAAAAATTGACAATCTAGTTGGCGCACAAATGATCTTACTGAATTCAACTAAAAGCAGTAATATTAATTATATAGTTGATAGCAATGTTATTACAATATTAATAAATAAATAAATAAATAAATGGGAACGGGATTAAGTCTAAGGAATAAATAACAATAATATGGAAGAAGAGCTCGATTAGCGGGCAACCGAAGAGAAAACAGAACGGAAAGGCAAAGCGGTTGACTTTTTAAAGTGAGAGCAATGGCCACGCAACCGCAACGCCGTGTTCACAGCTATAACCCTAACACCAAACGCCTCTCTCTTTGCTCAAACGTCATCGCTTCCTGTTTTCTACTCCGTACCCTCCCTTTGTACGTTTACTTGTATATATATATATATATATATAATCACAGTCGACAACAAAAACAAGTACTAGTTTCTTCAAATTCAAAACCCGAATTCCCACTTTCTTTTGTCCCCTTGTTTTCATTTATGTATTAAATGAATTAAAATGATGTACGATCAACAGCAGCCACAAGTGAAGTTAATGGAGATGAGCAGAAACCCAGGAGGAGATCATCATCATCGCAGTCCGAGAAGATCGTCAAGTACGGATCCGGAAGAGAAGGTTCGGCTAGGGATCGTGGATTTGAGTGGGATGTCGTTGGATTCCCTTCCGATTCCTTCTCTCAACTTGGCTACCGTTTCCAAGCTAGACCTCTCCAATAACAATCTTCAGGTATGTATGTATATGTATTTTTCCTTCTTTATACCTTAATCTCCTTCCAGCTTTTGCATGCCCGTTCATTCATCTTCTCATATTTATATTACGAGAGATTATACATAAAATTAAGTGAAATTTATACGATTACTCATAATCCATATTTTAACAATTTAATCACCGAGTTCGTCAATATTATGTATAAGTATATCTTATGTTTCTTCATAAAATCGTCAGTTTATTTTTCTCCCAGTTGTGTTGATCTGTATAATTCAGTATTGTTGAATATCAGTATGTTTCTTCATAAAATCGTAAGTATATTTTTTAATGCAAAAAATAAAATAAGAAGGTTATAATTCTACTCCTGTGCAGTACTGCTATTGCATATAATGATTTCCCTGATACAAATAACAAATCAACACTTTAGTCAAGCAGTTAAATCATTTTGTGACAATATAAATATCGGTCGAGTCTAAATGGACGAATAAGATTAATTTATTTTGTTTTGTTTTTCATAACATTTTTTAAAAATAATAATATTAACTTTTTAATTTTCTATAATAATTATATGATATAAATATATATTCAAAACATTTTTTGTATTTAACAACACACTATAAATATAACTTTTTGAATTTAAAATCATAATATTAACCTATAAAAATTTAATTTTATCCATAATTATATTTTCTTAAGAGAATTACAAAAACCGTAAGTTAAACTTATCTAACAATATTTTATTATCTTTGGCATTGTTTTTTATTGTACTGTCGATTTCACTTAGTTATAAACATTTTAATAAATATTATTTTAATTAGAAAGAAAAATAATAATAATCCGTTATTTTCATTTGCGCCGACCATTATTTTATAATATTGGATGAAGGTGTACGCTGGCGTACGTTATAACTATTGATGATTTGGGTTATATTATATGTGTAACGTGGGAATAATACCAGTACGGATGGACTTTGATTCCCAATTACGTGTTTTTTATTTAAATAATGTTGATATTAATCCATCATTAATATCATCGTCATATTCACGTCCTCGCCTGTTTCAGATTCGTACGTCTGAATATATACAAGAAAATGGGTAACGTATAAAGATATTCCATATCTCTAAAGTCAGCTCATGTACAGTAAAAGTCTAGGTGTGATTTTGGAAGTATGTGTATATAGATATTGTTAGCGGTAAAAATTAGATATTTTATCCGTATATCAATTATTAAAGGTAAATTATATGTTTATTATTTTAATTATTTATTAAAAATACATTTAATCTATTATTATTTATTTTTTTATCATTCAATTATTTTTATTTCAAATTCATATTTAATATTGTATTTTGATCACTCATCCTTAAAAAACTCATCCTTAAAAAATTAAAAGTACTACTGATGTGTCACCATAATATAACGTCATCATTAAATAAACTTAAAAATGTTATGTCAATAGTTCTGTTAATTTTTTAATGACGGGTGATTAAAATAAAATTAAAACTTAAAGTTAGACATATTTCTAAAAAAAAATAATAGTTGGATGATCAAAATTAAACAAAAATAATAGTTGGATACTAAACGTGCAGTTTATTCATAATTTTAATAGTATATTTATATATTATTTTAATTAATAAATGTAGTTTTTAACATATATTTCTTTAAGATTTTGATACAATAGTTGATAGATCATAGAATAAACTTTCTAAAACTTAAAATAATGTGAAGTTTGGGGTCCGCAAAATCCCTTAACATTGTGACTGAGTTAATTTGGTTTGATTTGACAGAGCATACCAGAGTCTCTTACAGCAAGGTTACTAAACGTGGTGAACTTGGATGTGCACTCTAATCAGCTCAAATCTCTCCCCAACTCCATCGGTTGTCTCTCTAAGCTTAAGTTTCTCAACGTCTCCGGTAACCTTCTCCAGGATCTCCCTAAATCCATCGAAAATTGCAGGTCATTAGAAGAGCTGAATGCCAACTTCAACCACCTTACAATGCTACCAGATACCATCGGCTTCGAGCTCATCAACTTGAAGAAACTCTCAGTAAACTCAAACAAGTTGATTCTCTTACCTCAATCAATCTCCCACTTGACATCGTTACGAGTTCTCGACGTACGCCTCAATTGTCTGCGCTCTCTCCCTGATGACATGGAGAATTTGATCAACTTAGAGGTTCTCAACGTCAGCCAAAACTTCCAGTATCTCGAAACTCTACCCTACTCCATCGGTCTGCTCATTTCACTAGTGGAATTGGACGTCAGCTATAACAAAATAAAATATCTGCCGGATTCCGTCGGATGTTTGAGGAAGCTCCAGAAGCTTAGCGTGGAAGGGAACCCTCTGGTTTCGCCGCCGATGGAGGTGTTCGAGCAGAGCTTGCAGGTGGTCCAGGAGTACCTGTGTGAGAAAATGAAAGCAGCAGGGGAAAACCCCCGAAAGAAGAAATCATGGGTGGGGAAGTTGGTGAAGTATGCGACCTTCAATGGGAAAATGATGACGAGTGGTGGTGGTGGCCGCCGGAGCGGGTACTGGGAGAGAGAAGGGTTCATCATGTCGGAATATAAGTCCATCGACGGTCTAGCTTCGCCTCGCTACATGGGAATGGCGTCACCCGGCCCACGCTTCTCGCCTCTCAACATGGGGATGTTGTCGCCTCGCCGCATCTTCTCGCCTCGTACTTACTGCACCAGATGACTAAAAATTACATGGGATGGAAGGCAAACTCTAGGGCATCTTTCTACTGTTTTGAACATATGTCTGCTGGTATGGTATATATAAAACATTTTATCTACTGATAATATATAATATTATTATTGTCAATAAATAAAATATTAATATATTATAATAAAAAAAAATTAATGACGATATATAAAATTATGTGATATATAGAAACAAAGAGTATCATAGTGGAGTAACGTTGGCATTGATATGTGAAGACAGCTGATGAACCGTACGTAAGAATGTTGAGTTTGGTTTTGTATTTTGGTCTGTACATAAATGTGTAGTGTACTTGTTTGCCAACTTTTATTTTGTTAAAATACCAGACATGCAGTTTTTTTTTGTTTCTAATGTACTTTTATATCCTTTATTGTCATTTTAGTTGCATGATCCAACTGACCTAAATTGTTATAGAAATATAATTATCTCTAGAGATTTTAAGTTTGAATAATATATATATATATATATATATATATTTATTGTTAAATGGTTAAAAATATTTTAAACATATATTACGTTATACTTATCTTATATTAATAAGAAAATATTTTTTTGATTTAGTGAGTTGGAACAATTATATATATGCAAAATATGAGAAAAATAAGAGATTTTAGTATGATAAATTTTATTTAATGGTTTGATTTTTTATTATTAGTTAATGGTTTCATTGTTTAATACTTAAACTTAATGAAACTTTAAATATAACTTTATTTTTTAAGAATTTTTATGAGTTTTTGTGGATATTAATATAATTGATTTTGAATTTTTATATTTTTCACTCCATATATATTTAAAGCTTGAAGATTAGTTTAATTTTTAAAAAAAAAAAATTAAATGAGTTAATTTGTTTATTTTTAAAATCAATTGTGACTCTAGGGATATTTATAACAATTTATTAATATTTTTTGAATATCTAAATTGTAAAAATTCAATTTAATTTTAACTTAAAAAATAAATTAAAATTGATCTAATAAGTCAAATAACTGCCACCACTAAGTTTCACTTGGATCGAACAAAATTGAACCTATCAACCCATTTAACAGGCCCGAAAGACCCAACTCCCAAACCGAGTTCAAATATGAAACCCAAGAAATACTCAAGAAACTTCACTATGACTTGAAATTTTGATTTTTTTTATTGAATTGAATTTAAATTGTAATTTTATAAATTTGATTTAAAAAAATTAAGTTCAAACTGAGTTATAAAATATAACACAAGTAACTCAAAATTTTTAGTAATTAGTAAATTGATTTTCAAGTTTAAGTCGAGTCTCTAGACTCTGTATGATATATGTATATCACATGAAAAAAATATGAAGAGATATATATGTATTGTATATGGTTATAAATAATCATTTAAATTGGAATCAAATAGTATCATAATATAATTTAGGGTAAACTATACGGAAGACCACCAAACTATGGTCATTAATCGATCTTGCCACTGAACTATTTTTTGTCTCAATTCGACCATCAAACTTTTTAATTGATTCAATCAGACCACTCTCCGTTAAAAAAACGGACTTACTGACGTGTCCATGAATAAAACTGGCATAATTATATATTTGGTCTTTAATATTCACACATTTTATCAATTTAGTCACTATTTTGATTCCATTAAATAAATTTAACTATCCAATTAGAACATGACAAGTGTCAATACATGGTTGGAAGGTTTTATTTATGAATTTTAAATTATTTAATTAAATGATTTTTTAACCAATCAGATGGTGACACGTGTCACCACCCAATTGAAATGGAAAATCGAAGAACAAATTAATGCTCCAAGGGATTCGAACCTGTGTCTTTGGGGGAGAATAACCAAACGCCCAAACCGCTAAAGCAAAGCTCCCCAATAGGTCTAACTTACAACCGTTTATATTTGACTTGTGCCTTTAAACAAATCATTTGGTTAAATAAATTTCAGTTCAATTAATGGTTACAGAAAAAAAATTCGGTTAATTCGATTCAGTTAATAATTTTCAAATAAATTTTGGTTCGATTAACGGTTAAGGAAAAAATATTTTATTTTATTCGATTAATTCGGTTAATAATTTTCAAATAAATTTATATTCGATTAACGGTCAAATAATTTCGGTTCGATTAATAGTTAAAGAAAAAAAATCGGTTGATTTGGTTCAGTTAATAATTTTCAAATAAATTTTGGTTTGATTAACGGTTAAAGAAAAATAATTTATTTTATTCGGTTAATAATTTTCAAATAAATTTGGGTTCGATTAATGGTCAAATAATTTCAGTTCGATTAATTGTTAAAGAAAAAATTTTGGTTAATAATTTTCAAATAAATTTGGGTTCGATTAACAGTCAAATAATTTCGGTTCGATTAATGTTAAAGAAAAAAAATTTGGTTAATTTGGTTCGGTTAATAATTTTCAAATAAATCTAAGTTCGATTAACGGTCAAATAATTTCGGTTGGATTAATGTTAAAGAAAAAAATCGGTTAATTTGATTCGGTTAATAATTTTCAAATAAATTTCGGTTCGATTAATGGTTAAAGAAAAAATTCGGTTAATAATTTTCAAATAAATTATTTTTTCCTTAACCTTTAATCGAACCGAAATTTATTTGAAAATTATTTACCAAATCAAATTAATATATTTTTTTCTGTAACCATTAATCGAACTGAAATTTATTTAACCAAATAATTTGTTTGTCAGTACAAGTCAAATATAAATTGTTGTAAATTAAAATCATTGGAAAGCTTTGACTCAACGGTTTGGGTGCTTGTTTACTCCTCTACCCCCTTGGACGCAAGTTCAAATCCCTTGTAGTGCAAATTTGTTCTTTAATTTTCTATTTCAATTGCGGTGTCACCACTTGATAGTTTAAAAAATTATTTAATTAAATAATTTAAAATTCATAAATAAAGCATTCCAATCATGTATTGACAAGTGTCATATTCTAATTAGATAGTTAAATTTATTTAATTGAATTAAAATAATGACTAAATTGATAGAATGTGTAAATATTAAGGACCAAATATATAATTATGCCAGTTTTATTAACGGGCACGTCAACAAGTCTGTTTTTTTTAACGAAGAGTAGTCTGATTGAATCAATTAAAAAGTTTGGTGGTTGAATTGAGACAAAAAATAATTCAGTGGCAAGATTGATTAATGACCATAGTTTGGTGGTCTCCCGTATAGTTTACCCTATAAATATTTACAATTAAATTTAAACAGAAATTCAAAAAATCGATTCGAATAAACTCAAATTTTATAAACTCTACTCCACTCGAAAAAATTTCAAATCAAGTTTGAGTAATAAAATAGTACTCGTCAACTCGAATAACTTACAATAATTTATCCTAAAATGACTTGACCGTACGCTCACTCTTACTCGAATCAACACCTCCTCACTTCACTCTCTCTTTTACCATGTATGTGCTTCTATCATAAAAAAACGACATAAATTATCACTAAAATGTTTCAAACGCGCATGACTCAAATGATCTTAATGGTTAAAAAAATAATTATTATCCTTAAAATTCTTGAATTCAAATATAACATATGTAAAGATGGTCGAACATTCATTATTAAATTATTGAAAGTATTTCAAACATAATCAACTTTATAATCACTCAAACTAATAAAAAAAATATCTCAACTATTTTAAGACTAAACCTTTGACAATATTCAACAAATGACACTATTTCTTTTTAATGAATTTTTGTAATCCTCGTCGAGCGTTGGAATTGTTTATTATAAACCTTCGTATTTGTTATTCCACACAAGTCATTCATCATCGTCAACAAAACAAATTGATACTGATAATATTAGACATAGTACCGATAAGATAACGAAAATAATGATGATCAAGTTGATGAGTTATTAATACGAAGAAATTTCATGTGAAATAGACTAGCACCACATTATAAAACTTAATCACGAAAAAATTATCATTAGATTAAGATAATCTTTTAATAACATATTTTTTAATTGTTGTAATATTTTAATAATATTATAAATATATTAGTTCTATTTATTTCTTTTCAAAAAATTCTTTTTTTTAATATTTTTAATTTATGTTACAAAGATGGCAAAATGGTTGACTAAATGATATAATAAAAAAATTCCTAATATAATCCAACCCAGTGATTATTTCTTTATCTATAGTGAATTTCACAGTATCAATCCAAAGACGACAGGTGTTTAACGCGTCTTAAAGTTAAATATGAAGACTACACGATTGTATGACGTATTCAGAAAAATAGAGAAGATCCCACGACTGTATGGCATATTCAGACAAGTAGAGAAGACCCTAAAAGTGTATGGCGTCTTCAAACCTATAAAAAATTTTAGTGTATAAAATAATACGGTAAATACCTTATTTGAGAAAATTATTTTTTTCACAACCTATATGGGCGAAGAATCCCTTTAATATGTGATGGTGAACTATCTTTTAAAGACATTTTTAACGTGAAATAGTTTTTGGTATACATGATAAAAAAATATTAAAATGAATATTAATTTTTCGAGGATGATACTATAATGGAAAGGCCATATATCTACGGTTAGTTTATTTTTATCAATGATTTAATCTATAATCATATTTGTAATTAACATTTAAATAATTAAAATTATATTTCGTGAAAAACTAAATTCATTTGTGAAAACCATTACGCCATCAGAATCAAATAATATATGGAAATTACAGTGTGCATATAGATAGGGAGAGAGATAGAGGTGGGAAAAATAAGAAGGGAAACAAATTTATAAGATGGGGAATGTCTGGGGTTTATTAATTCTATGTTTTGTAGGGAAAGAATGCAGCATTCATTCTTTGACAAATTTACCAATTTTCACTTTTTTTTTCCTCCTTCCCTTCTTAACATTTTAGATTAGTCTTTGCTGCCTCCATTTCCTTGTCGTATGTTTTTCGGTTCCGGCCACTTTCTCGCCCTTCTTTCCCGGCCCTCTCGCCGGAATCCGTTTCCTAGATTTCTATTTCCTTTCCCCGGGAAATTGGGGTTTTACGTTTACTTTGACTACCGTTTGAATGATTTTGTTAAATAAGCTGATCTGAGCTTTAGCTGCAAAGCTTTCTATTAGTGTCTTTGCTTTGTCTTTTTCAAGCTAATCAGATATTAACAGCTCAATAGTTTAGATTTTTTTTTTGTCTGAGAGTTCAAGGGGGAATAAAAACAAAAAGAAATGGAAGTGTCGGCCGCCGGAGCCGCATCTACATCCAACGCGGCAGCTCCAAATTCGGCTGAAGGTCTGCTCTTTCTCTTTTGATTTACTTTTTGCCGATTTTTCAATTCGATTATCCTAAAAAGATTTGGTTTTCTTATATCTCTCAATCACTCTCTACTTCAAAAGCTCTAAGATTTCCTTTTCCTTTTCCGTTGAACTAGAATTATTCGCTAGATACATAAAGTCTATTCTCCTTTTCTTTTTGTTAGTCTTTCTTCTTTCTTTCTTTTTTCCTGGAAAAGCAATCAGCAAAAGAGTGAATTGACTTGATGGTTGCTTGACTGGTGATGCAGGTGTTGTGCAGGAGAACAATAGCATCAACCCGGAGCTATGGCAGGCATGTGCCGGGCCGCTGGTGAACCTGCCGGCTGCTGGGACCCACGTTCTGTACTTCCCTCAAGGACACAGCGAACATGTAAAACTAAATTACCTACTCTTGTCGGCATTTACTATAGATTTCTTTTGTTTCTGCCGAGAATGAATTTTTATAATTGAAGGTTTTAATCTAGGTGCTTTTGGGTTTCATCTATTGTTTGTATTTGATGCAGTACGAGTGCATAATTTATAACTTTCAATGAATTAAATGATGTTACCTCTTTATTAATTCAATGTGAAGTTTTTAACAATAAATATAGATACCTTTTTTTTCTTAGTAATAATATGTGGTATTATATGACTTACCATGAAACTAAGGTAGTTGAACTTTGTTTAAATCGGACATTTCGACATGGTAAAGAGTCGCTTTATTCGGATTTATTTACATGGTGATAGATTACATGAATGGTGTTGTTTGCTTTAACTTTTCATCTTCTATCTTGGTTAAATATGTGTTCTGACTTGAATAAAACTTCCAATCTCAGGTTGCCGCGTCAATGAAGAAAATTGTGGATGCTCAAGTTCCGAACTACCCGAATCTTCCATCTAAGTTGTTATGTCTCCTTCACAATGTCACCTTGCATGTATTGCTACCTAAGTCTTCTTGCCCCTTGTTCCTTGCCCTTTAGAAAATGTCAATTGTCATTCATTTATTTGTGCTTTCCAATCCATTTTTTATCAACTTTCTCTTGTTTGATTTTGCAGGCTGACCCAGAGACGGATGAAATCTATGCTCAGATGACACTCCAACCCGTTTCTTCTGTAAAGAGCTTATCCAAAATGTCTAGAAGAATCTTATATCATGTTATAGAGTTTTGAATACGTAACTTGATATAAGAACTGGACGAACCTATTGACATTTTTTGCAGTTTGATAAGGAGGCATTACTGAGATCAGAACTTTCTCTTAAGCCAAATAAGCCGCAACCAGAATTCTTCTGCAAGACGCTGACAGCAAGTGATACAAGCACTCATGGAGGTTTTTCTGTTCCTCGTCGTGCTGCTGAAAGTTTTTTCCCTCCTCTTGTAAGTAGTTTTATTTAAGCTAGAAGGTTGGTTGTTTTAACTTTGGATGTTAATTCCTTTCCTGCTTCTTTTGACAGGATTTCTCAATAGAATCACCTAATCAAGAACTTGTGGCCAGGGATCTTCATGAAAATGTCTGGAACTTCCGCCATATCTATCGAGGTTTGGTCATTTTGTGGCCTTGAACTTTTACTTGTTGGATTTATGGATTGCCATTACAGTATCACTAGTAATTGTTTTGCTTGCTCTATATGCACTTGATGTATTTAATCCCAATCCTTGGTTTTTAATTTCAGGGAAACCAAAGCGCCACTTGCTTACCACAGGTTGGAGCCTATTTGTCAGTGTTAAGAGACTCCTTGCTGGTGATTCAGTTTTATTCGTTAGGTAACTGTAACGATTCCGCTTGGAATACATATTTTTTGTTACTGATTTCCCAATGTTTCATGTCTATTTACAGAAGCATTGTCACGTCATGTAACTTTGATTGGTTTACTGCTCTCTTCCGTAGAGAAAAACAAAGGCAATTTTATCACTCTTGTGTTCAAATTTTGTGAGCAGAGATGAAAGACGACAGCTTCTCTTGGGCATAAGGCGTGCCAACAGGCAACCCACCAATTTATCGTCGTCAGTATTGTCGAGTGATAGCATGCATATTGGAATCCTCGCTGCAGCTGCTCATGCAGTAGCAAACAATAGCCCCTTTACAGTGTTCTATAATCCAAGGTCCAAAAGATAACTTTCTGACTTTTAATTAAGTTCAGCCACATTAAAACAGTTGATTAGTATATGCTACTAGGAGACTTTCTTTACCTGTAAGTATTCATTCCAAAGTATTATTTGCTTTTCAGGGCTAGCACTTCTGAATTTGTTATTCCTTTAGCCAAGTATTATAAAGCTGTGTATAACAATCAATTATCACCTGGCATGCGCTTTCGAATGATGTTTGAAACTGAAGACTCAGGAACAAGAAGGTAGCTTTACTTAAAGTTTTCGTCCGTTTTTTATAGTTAATTACTATCTCCAAATTAGCTATGTCTTGATGATTGCTTTCTTAGATCAGAAAATTTTGATTTGGCTATTTGTAAAATGAAAAACGGTGGAAATAAATACTTTTCCCCCTTCAGGTATATGGGAACAATTACGGGAATCAGTGATATCGATCCTGTAAGATGGAAAAACTCACAATGGCGAAATTTGCAGGTAACTTCTACTACTATTTTAGTTCATTTTTTTAAATTATATTTATTATAGTAAGATGAGGCTTTTTTTGGTCAGTGGCAACATTTTTAACTAGCTTGTTTTCTTCAATAGGTTGGTTGGGATGAGTCAACTGCCGAGGAAAGACATAATCGAGCCTCCATTTGGGAAATTGAACCAATTACAGCTCCATTTTTCATCTGTCCACCTCCATTCTTCAGATCAAAGCGTCTTAGGCAACCCGGAATGCCAGGTAGCAGATCCTATAGCCTCTAGTTATTGCATAATCAATTTCTATTTGGTGCAAGAACGGTTTATTAGATGCCAACTTAGGGACTTTGTTCCTTGGGGCGGTACTCTGGGTGCCTTATATTGATTATTTGATTGTTTGGATTTTTTCATTGTGACTTGTGACACTTGGGCTTCTGTAGAATAGCAATGATTAGGAGTAAATGACATCTGCTGATTCTGATTCTGCGATGAGGACTTCAAATTGATCTTTTTGCTTTTGATCTATTTGGTCTATTCAATATCAAACTCTCTCAATGTGCTATGCTGATGCTTGAACTCTTCAACATTTTTATCCTTTTATGTATTGACATGGTTTAGCTGCATACCTTGCCTGAGAATTTTGCAGATGATGAATACTCTGACTTTGATAATATATTCAAGAGGTCAATGCCTTCGCTTGGTGACGATGTATGCATGAAGGATTCACATTTGCTTCCAGGGGTTAGCCTGGTCCAATGGATGAATATGCAGCAACATCCTGTGCTGGCAAACTCAATGCATCCAAATTTCATGCAGTCTCTGGCTCGATCCACTATGCAAAACTTTGACGGAGCAGATCTTTCCCACCAGATGGGTCTGTCAGCACCACAAATACCTCAGCCCAACATGCAGTTCAGTGCTCATAGGTTACCTCAGCAAGTACAGCAACTCAATCAGCTTCCAAAGCTGCCATCTATGATGAACTCAGTGGGATCCATTATGCAGCCACAACAGCTGAATGGCATGGTTCAGCAGTCGGAGCAAAATTTGATTGCTCAGACTCTACCCTCTGGTGAAGTTCGGGCTCAAATTTTGCAGCCTCAAGCCATTGTCCAAAGTAACAATATCCTTCAGCAGCAGCAAACTTCTAATCAAACTCTTCAACTCCCTCAAAGTCTTCCTCAAAACCTGCAGCAGCAGTATATGGATCCAAATCAACCACAAAACCTAATGCATTCCCAGCTGCCTGATCCACTCAGCCAACATTTACAAGTGCCTGACATCCAGGTTCAGTTTCAACTGTTGCAGCAGCTTCAGCAGCAACAACAGTTGCTTTTGTCACAGCAGTCCACACTTCAGAAGCCTGGTCAACTTGCCCAACCCCAAGATCAACAAAGTCACCTCTTAGATGCTTCTCAGGCCTTCTCTAGGTCCATGGCAGCTAGTCAAGTGTTGGATATGCCTCAAAACTCCCCCACCTTGCTACCTCAATCAAATGTTGCCCCACATCAGACACCTAAAAGTAACAGCCAGGCAAATGTTCAGTTCTCTCAATCACCTCTGCAGTCAAAGCTTCAGCAACAGCAACCTGGAATTCTGCCTGAAGTTCCTGGTCATGTGGATCCCTTCCGCACAACTGCAAAAAAGCAACCATCCAATGCTGTTAGCAGTGTAATGACATGTGCTGCTGCAGCTGCTCATTCTGTGATCACCGATGCAAATCAACCATCCAATTCTGTTAGCAGCGTAATGACATGTGCTGCTGTAGCTGCTCATTCTGTGATCACTGATGATAATCCATCGTGTTCCACTTCACCATCTACAAACTATCCAAGTGTTCTTCAGCCAATGATAAACAGCAGAGTCCACAAGAGTACTGGATTAGGGGATGGCATCACTCAGTCTGCTGCCACAATCTTGAATCCTTATCCCTTGGAGGCCATGTCACCTAATGTTAATATAGTTGAAGAGCTTCAGAAAAAGTATGATTTTAAACCCTTATCGAATATCTCCAAGAGTCAAAACCAAGGCCTTTATACCCTACAAAACTATATCAATGGTGCTACTGTACATGCAGATTACCTGGACACATTATCTTCTACGACTTCAGTTTGCCTTTCTCAGAATGTTCATTTGCAGCAAAACTCATCGACTTACAACCCTCAAACAATGTTGTTGAGAGACACAAGTCAAGACGGGGAAGTTCAGGCAGATCCAAGGAACAATGTTTCATATGGAAATAATATGGATAGCCGAATTGGGATACCCATGAATTCTGACACTTCATTGACGAAATGCATGATGGAGCTGGGGAAGGATTTTTCAAATAACATCTCTTCGGGAGGAATGCTCACAAGCTATGAAAACCCTAAAGATGCTCAGCAAGAACTTCCATCGTCAATTGTTTCCCAGTCATTTGGAGTTCCAGATATGACGTTTAACTCCATTGATTCCACTATAAACCATAACAGCTTCACAACCCGTAGTGCATTGACCCCACCGCCACAATTTCAGAGAATGCGAACATTTACCAAGGTTTGTTGTTCTAAACATCAGTCGCATCAAGATAATCTCTCTACTTGTTGCACACATCCTTGACCACTTGCACATATCACAAATCCTTGTCATCTCATAAGTGAAGGGCTCCAATTCACATATTTACCTTTTCTAGGTTTACAAACGCGGGGCTGTTGGAAGATCAATAGATATAACTCGTTATTCAGGTTATGATGAGCTCAAACAAGATTTGGCTCGTAGGTTTGGCATTGAGGGGCAGCTGGAAAACCAAGGGAGAATAGGCTGGAAACTAGTCTACGTGGATCACGAGAATGATGTTCTACTAGTTGGAGATGACCCATGGGAGTAAGCCCTGATGCTCCTTTTCTCATAAACACGGCTCGTCTTAAATATTCTTTACATTGTTTGCCCCGATGAAAACAATTCAAGCCATTAGACTAATCGATGAAAGTGAATAAATACAGTAACATTTAATGTCCTCGTCCTGACATTTTGTTTAACATCTGTTTCATTTCAGGGAGTTTGTCAACTGTGTCCGAAGCATCAAAATCCTCTCCCCTCAAGAGGTCCAGCAGATGAGTGTGGATGGAGATTTCAGGAACTCTGCCCTGCCTAATCAGGCCTGTAGTAGCTCTGGCAATGGAAATGCATAAACTAGTATAGCAACAGGCTAATGACCATTACCAGTTCGGAGCTTATACAGTTTGTACGATTGGATTCGGTTGATCGCTTTCCATACGGTGTATATTTTCGGCATATCTTTCTGCCTTCTGCCGGAAAAGGAGAGATGATTGGTGATAGGAGCAGAAAAGGAGGAAAAGTGTGGCCTCACTCACAATCAAGCCATGAAGGGACAGTTAATCTGCTTGAGCTTGGGTTTGATTATGTAAGAAATTGGTACTCCATTTGCCAATGTAGGTTGATTCAATTGGTTCAGTATTCATTAGTGGCTTGGTAAGAACTAAGGGTAGAGTCTTACCAGCCATCGCATTGGCCTGTCAAAAACTTTGAATTCACATTTGATCGTTTCCTCAAGTGTACTTTAATATTTGTACAAACAAGATTCTGAATTTTATGGCTTAGTTCCTTTTGTATGATAAATATGTTGAATTGTACAAGCATAGGTTTGTTTTACCATTTGTACACTTTTAGGTTCAATTGGATCAAAATATCGGTTTGTTTCGGTCCATTTCGATTGTTATCGATCTATATCGGTGTGTACAAGAATTTAATATGTCTAACTATAAATTTTTAAATTTATTATAATTACATTTAAAAAATTATAATCATTTAATTAAGTTATTGAACTTAGTTAACTAATAATTCTAAGATCTATATTTTTACATAAATATATTTATAAACATATAATTGAAGTATTTTTTGCATCATATATATGTATGACAAATATTTAAAAAACAATGATACACGAAAACTCATCGATACCCAAAAAGATATGATGCGCCCACCGGTACGGTATTAACTACTTTGTTTTGGCCCCAAAATTGTTAGATTAAACTATTTCTTAGGTCTCTATTTGTTTTGAAACTAAATAAATTAAATCTTAATACTCTTAACTTATGAGTTTAATTACATTTTAGGTCCTCGTTATTTTGGTTAAAATACTTTTTTAAGCACAAAAGATGAAATTACGGAGGCAATATAAAATAAAAATGGATGATTAGTTGTATAATATATCTGTATTGGATTCAACGTGACAGAAGAAAATGAAGTGGATGAACGTTGTTAATGGCAGTACCAACGGCCTTTTAACGTTTAACGACACAGCAACTCCCTGTTTCTAGCGCTTTGGTATTTAGTATTCCAAATTCCATGCATGTTATCAACATTCTCCTCTTGTCTCCAAAGCCAAAGTATTCCTTCTTCCCCTTGACACCCCAACGCCAGTTACGCCATGGCTTTTCGTCGTCAACTTCAACTTATAATCCTACATTTTATCCTGCTGCTTTTTACCATGGTCTTCATTTCATATGCATTGTCGGATCCCGAAATCCTTCTCAGGTTCAAATCCTCGTTAGCCAACAACACTGCTTTGAAGAACTGGGAAAACAATTCCAGCCCTATTTGCAACGGTAGACGAGCTAACTGGATCGGCGTCATTTGTTTAAAAGGTACTGTTTGGGGTTTACGACTCGAGAAAATGGGATTATCAGGCACCATTGATGTCAACACCTTGACAGCCCTGCCTCGCTTGAGAACCTTAAGCTTTATGAACAACAATTTTAATGGTCCCATTCCCGAGTTCAAGAAGATTCCTGGGTTGAGATCCATTTATTTATCCAACAATCGGTTTTCTGGAAATATTCCCGGCAATGCATTCGAAGGTATGGTTTGGCTCAAGAAGCTGTATCTATCGAAAAACCAGTTTACCGGTCCGATTCCAGCGTCGCTGGCCACCCTGTCCAGGTTTACGGTGCTTAAGCTCGATGGCAACCGGTTTTCGGGGGAAATACCGGGTTTTAAGTTGAAACAGTTGCATGTAGTTGATCTCTCGAATAACCAATTGGAGGGTCCTATACCAGCAAGCCTTAGAAAGATGAAAGCCGACATGTTTGCAGGTGAAATTTTGGAATCGAATTATCTAAGAAGAATAACACTTATTTTACCACTCGACCATATACTTAACTGAGTGATTATATATATATATATATATATTGCAGGCAATAAAGGTGTTTGTGGAGCACCATTGACGGCATGTAAGTCGACCCCTGCTGATGATCCAAACAAAAACGATGCTGCTGCTCCCACTTCCAAGAAGAATATCTCAATATGGGTTATTGTGATCCCTATCATAGTTGGGCTCTTCATAGCCATAGGTGCAGTCATCATAATCAATCAGCGCAGAAGACAGCAACCACCTGCAAAAGTGGAGGCTTCATCGCCATCAAACCCCAAAACCAAAACAGGTCTCAAGGTAGAAGACCGTGCTACTGTCGCCTCGCCGTCGCCGCGCCAGAGCAACGGAACGAAGTCTGCGGAGTCCGCTACGAAACTTACTTTCTTGAGCGATGATGATAGAGACAAGTTCGATTTTCCGGACTTGCTGAAAGCCTCAGCCGAGGTATTGGGAAGTGGGTATTTCGGGTCATCTTATAGGACTGACCTACCAAATGGGTCTGCCATGGTGGTTAAGAGGTATAAACAGATGACCAACGCCGGAAAAGAAGATTTCCAAGAGCATATGAGAAGGATGGGGAGATTGAAACATGAAAACGTGCTTACTCTCGTCGCTTATCATTACAGGAAGGATGAAAAGCTCATTGTCTGCAATTTTGTCAAAAATGGCAGCTTGGCTGCTCATCTTCATGGTTTGTTGTTTATATGCTTTGAAGTTAATATACGTTCAAATATATATAGTATTTTTGACGATGTTCTTTCCTGCAGGCCATCAAACTTTGGGGCAACCAGGCCTTGATTGGCCAACTCGACTGAAGATCGTGAAAGGAATAGCCAAGGGGCTGTCGTACCTATACAAGGAATTACCTAGTTTGGTCGCACCGCATGGTCATCTCAAATCATCAAACGTTCTCCTTAACGAATCCTTCGAACCCCTCCTCACCGATTACGGTCTGATCCCGGTAATCAACACGGAGAATGCTCAAGCCTTCATGACGGCCTATAAATCACCCGAATACGTGCAACAAAGTAGGGTCACGAAGAAGACCGACGTATGGTGTCTCGGTGTACTGATTCTAGAGATTATGACCGGAAAGTTCCCCTCCAACTTCTTGCAAAAGGGAAAAGGAAGCGGTGAAGAGGACTTAACGACATGGGTGAAATCGAAAGCGGGTGACGGCGACGAAGAAACGTCGTCGATCGACATGGTGGTGTTCGACAAAGAAATGGGAACCATAAGCGAGCGTGAGGGGAAAACGATGCTCCAACTGTTGAAGATCGGGTTGAGTTGCTGTGAAGATGATGCGCTGAAGAGATTAGACTTGAAACAAGCTGTGGAAAGAATTGATGGATTGAAGCTCGGAAACTTTAGTAGTGATGAGGAATCATGTCAGTGGCAGTAAGGACGACAATAAGTGATGAATGTGTCATGAATTACGTACATTTATAATGTCTTATTTTGTGCGCAAGTTTTATTGAAGGGTGCAACTGATGTCACAGATTTGATCTATAGGTTCCCTCAGGACTAGTTATTTTAGCTTGCAATTGCATCTATTACCTGTTTTCTCTATCTTTTACCTAATTTATGTTATATCTATATATAACCCATATTATATTATAACTATGTATTAAATAATTGTGTTTTTTTTACTTATTATTTACATAAATTTAGCCACTCATTTTTTTCTCTTTTCATCTCATGCGTTTTTTTATTATCGACAATAACATAAATATCGATTAATCATCAACAGTTAACCTTTCATTTTATATACCATTCTTTAGTTTTTCTCATTTTCTCTTAAATTTATCATAGTTTTTATCATGTTTTATTTTGTATATCTTAATTATGTTATTTTGTTTTGTATAATTAATTTTTTTTCGTATAAAAAATAGATAATTTTATATGCTCTTACCGTATGTCTTATATTTTCTCTGAATTTGATTTCGCGTGGTCTTTTCAATTAATGTTTATTTAGTTATATTGTTGATATGCTCTTACTTTGGATCATTGAATTAAATCTCTTTTATTGATAGGTGTTCGTAATAAGTCACAATTGGATTGTGTTAATGCTGATTTGTCAATGTACTATCATTATTATAAAGTTATTTTTTTTCAATTTGTTCTTTGTAATTCAAACAAAAATATAAAATAAAATTAAAAATGTTGACAACTTTATTTTAATAATATTATCATTAAAAATTAAAAAATTATATTTATTAACAAATATCAAAATACATAAAACTAAATGTACAAATTTTTAATTTTCTGAAATTTTTTCTTTTGATTCATATAATTTTAATTTCCTTTCCAAATTTGCAATATACATATACGCAAAGTCAATATAATTTAGTTTTCTTGTGTATCGTTTCACTTAAATAAATTAATATTTTTTTAAAAAAAAATATTTCAACAGAAAGATCAAAATTATCGAAAATTAATATTTAGTTTATTTTATTAATTTGAGTAAATATAATATATTATCTATTCAAAATAATTATATATCGTTTGATATTATAAACTTCTAATATTTATAATACTTAAATTTATAAAATAAAAAAATGATAATAATTCTTTTTTTACGTGTATCACTCAATTCATGTCATTATTGTTGGTTGAGCACAAGGTTTTTAACTTTGAGGTTGTGAGATCGAGTCTCACGGTGGGCAATTTATAATTACTAAAGGTCTTTCACGAAAATTATTTTCAACCTAGCATTAAGAGCAACCTATTACCTTATCTCCTCTTATCTCATTATATATGGAAAAAAGGGTCTACTCAATTCATGTCATCAGTCAACTTTAGTAATTACGGTACAGGTCATCCTATTTCATTGTTTTTTCTTAATATAGCCCCACCAAACTGTTTATATATTATGAGTTAGGATAAGAGGGGAAAAGAAGAGAAGAGAGCTGATTGATTGAAAACAATGAAATAAATAAAGCTTTCGTCTCTCTCTCTCTCTCTCTCTCTTCAGCTTTCTTATTCAGAAACGAATCTCCTTACTTCTAATTCACTCCTTTCCGTTTTCCCTCTTGCTGCAGTCTCCAATATCTTCCGTAATTACGACCCAACAAAATCCTGTGAATTGAATTGAACCGACTCTCTAGGGGGTGTGCCCAGTTTGTAATTTTCCAAGAAAAAATGGAAAATTTTGGTGGGAAAAAGAGACCCACCATCAATCTCAACCTGTTCACCACCTTTTCCGAGTCTATTTCCCCAACGAAATCCCCAAGGAACTTCCAAGACGGTGTGGTTGGGCTAGGCATAGTAGCGGCTATGACTGATGAAACCTATACTCGCCAACCTATTTGCTTTGCTCCGTCGCCGAGATCCGCCACCCCCGTGCCTATAGTCCCATCTGTTGGACCAGCACCCAATTCCCGATGTTGCTTTAATTCGGAGAATTCCGATGAATTATCTCAGAATCCCACTTGTGTAATTTCTCATGCTGGCGATAATAGCAACAGTTGCAGGGCTTTCACTGCTTCTTCCTCGGTTATTGGTCAATTCAAGAGGGAGTTTTGGAGTGATGACTTTCTGACTTATTGTCATCTTTGCAAGAAGGAGCTTCATGGTTTGGATATTTTCATGTACAGGTATTGGATTTTGATCATCTTTTGATTGATTTATGTTTTCAGTAATATTGGGTGTTTATTCTCGACGATGCTTTTGCTGATTTACAACTAATTGATGCATCAAATGATATAACGATTGCTTGGATATGATTATGTATATGTTTTTTTTGTTAATTAGTTTATGGTGGAGTTTTTTGGAATCGGCTTTATTGAGTAGAATTGACTTTCTTGGTTAAGTAATTAACTAGAGTTCCTTCAAAGGCTTTACAGATCATTTTGTCATTGGAAAAGATATCTAAGGATCCATAGGTCTAGGATTCAATAGGAAATGCTATGACGGGAAGGACAACAATTGAGTATTCGTCAGTAAAATACTGTCAGTGGGATCAAAGGTCTATATGGTCTTTAGTTGATCATATAGTATCAGTCTTCACAATTCGCACAAATGTGTTATTGAAAGTTTTGATCTGATTCTAACAAATATCAAGGGTGCATTGGCACCTTACTATGGTAAATAAGCTCCATTTTAGTCTCACAGTTGTATTAGTTCCAATTGTTTCCTAAGCTGTTCTGTTTACGAGTAAACTGGTCTGTATGAGGTCAATGTTGTTTACTACAAGTTGTTAGCAAGTTTGTTCTAGACCTTAGCATGCTAACTGCTTTATCAGCCGTCACTGTAAGGGATTATTTTGGTTTTGTGTTTTTATTGCCATTTCATTAGTTAAATATCTAGCAAATAATGCCAGCTGCAATGTGATTAGTGAATGATGTATTGAGTTGCATTTGTTATTTTTTCCTTTGGAAGATAAAATTGAAATGCCATAAATTTTGGATGTTGCTGTTTTGTTGTTATAAACTTCAAAGTTTAAATATGGTCATGCTAAATCACTTAACTTTTTTTAAGTGAGGTTTGAAAATAAGGATTTATTATATAATCAGACAACGTCACCATCTGACTAATTGGACATTATTGCAGCATCTGTATAAAGAAAGGGGTTTGTTGTAAAGTTACACATCTCTGTTGTGTCTTCTGGATCAAAACCTTGGGTTCCTTTTCCTATTTGATATATTACTTGGACTTAGGGAGTAGTGTAGATACTTAATTTGTAAGTATCCCGCATGGTAATTTTAGGAGAGTGAGATCTATATATCGTCTGCCGGATATTTATTTGGCCAACAGAATACTTTCGTAAAATGAAGAGTCATTTTAATTGGGTGGAAAGCTTGTCTTTGTTCTGTTTATGGTCATTTTGTTCCTGAATTTTAGTGTTTATGGCCATTTGCTTGAGATATTTTTTGATTGTGAAATATAATAATTATAATAATGAATGATTTATACATCTGCTGCTTCTTGTGTTGTTGGTTTTCTACTTTTGAACTTTTCAACAAGACAAAATTTCCTTTCCTGGTGTCCCCAAAGCCAGCCAGTGTTTCCTTTGCTTTTGGGGAATATTATAATTGATTGATACTGATGGCATTGAAGAATCTTTTCACTGATAAAAGCATTGCATTGGCAGAGGGGAGAAGGCATTTTGCAGTGATGAGTGCCGTGACAAGCAAATTACAAATGATGATAATCACAAACAAACATGTAAGGCTGAAGCCAGGAAGAAACCACTCTCTGAGTCTGCACCCCACTGTTCTGGCCCGCAGGTGTTGTTCACTGTGGTTGCCGCGGCATAGACTATTACTTAATCATTACTGATACATGATACATAAATAAATGAACAAATAAATGAAAGGGAAGAAGATGGAAACATGCAGGTGTAACTGCAGAATTTTGGTAGGCTTTTGAGTTCCAGTTTCAGCATCTGAGTGGAGCAAGAACCATATGATATTTCCTTTTCCTTTTGGCCTTCAGAATTTCAACTTATTGTATGTAGGAAAATCTTAGCATATTTATATGTATTATTTTTAAGAGTTTAGATGTTATGAATATTATAGTCAGCGGTAATGAATAATATAAAATCATGTTGGAAATGTATGGCTATTTGTTTTGCACTTCCCTGAAATAAAATGTTCCAAGCACTATGAAAATTACTCGCGTACTTAACATCATAGTTGAAAAACAGAATTTGATAAAAACAGAGGAACAATAAAACATGTCGCTAGACAATGTATCTTAGAATGCCATCTGAACAACAAACAGGAGCTTGATGAACCCCACCCTTCTAACTGGGATGTAGTTTCATGTCTCTGCTTCATCAATGAATAAGAATGGGTTTTCCACTACCAACATTTCAAACAACAAGACAGCTACATGGCTTATACCACAAAAGCTGAAGATGATGACAACGAAGAAGATAACCAACCCTTCTAAGCAGTCGCACTAGTCAATTCTTTTGTGACAGCCATTTTTTGTGTCTGCAGACATAAAACAAAGTGTTTAAGCTTTTTTTTTTTTTTTTTGCATTTTCGAACTTTTTTATTGAAGCAGGAGGGAGATATGAAAGCAAAACAAGTTCTTACAGCGGCTAACTCTTCTTCATGTTTTGGAATGAAAGCAGTGTCAACCTTTCCGTTTCTGAAGTCCTGTAAAGTGTTGCATGTTAAAGTGAATAATTTTTACCTAAAAGTAAAATATTCTCCAATTAAACATTAACAAAAAATAACTACCAACCTCAATATCAAGGATGAGCTTATGGTATTCAATCGTTGTAGGAACCCCTGAAACAAAAAGGTACATTTAGGAGATTCTTTGATGGGTAGAGTTTTGCTAGATAACAAAAACAAAGCAAAAATCGAACAAATCCTTTTGGTCCAAACACATTCAATTACATGCACGAAGCACCAACAAAAGCCACACTGACAATGGTCAATGAACGTGGATTCAATTAAACATATGCTTAGAGTCGTCTTTTTTTCTGGCTATAGGTTTCTTCTCCCATGTCCCATGTAACCTTTTGCATGTGAATGTTTACAATAATTGACTAAAAATATATGAAAACGCTGATGATAAAAAAATAATAAAGATCATGAAACAAAGTCCAAATAGTAAACATTGGTCAATAACCAAGTACCTGTAATCACAGTGTCATCGAGTGCCCTTTTCATGCGCTCAATTGCTTTTTCCCTTGTTGGAGCCCATACGATAAGCTACATTAGAGTAAATAATTAGAACAATATCAAAGCTAGAGAAGCAGCCCCCATAAGCATGACCATTTTCAGATTACATGAATCAAATATACATGCAGCTCTCCATGAAAGTTTTTGCTTATGTTTTACTATGTTAAGAATTGTCTTAGCAAAATTGAGATAATCCAGTTTACTATATGCCCCTTGAAATAAGACAAATTATGGTATTCCTAATAATTTAGATAAGAATTTTCTTCTCATCCATAATATTGACCTTAAGGGTTTGCATCCGATTGCTCATATATACATAATCTTAATAGTACGATACAGATATTACAGACCTTTCCAAGTAATGAATCATAGCTCGGAGGAACTACACAATCAGGATAAACATGGCTGTCCATTCGAACAAATGGGCCTCCAGATGGCAAGTACGATGTTATTCTCCCTGTCATTAAGAAATCAGAGGAGTTTAAAATATCAAACTATTAGACCAAGTACTTATATTTCCTCCCTATTCTTTTGGTTGTTTGAGAAAATCTAGTAGAAATTGAGGAAAGATTTGTGTATCAACTTCAAAAGTATAAAACATATTTATAAATAAAAGTAAATGATATAGCCTATAATGTTAATATAAGCATATGCAAGCTTGAATGATAGTAGCAACACTGTAAAAGCTCTAATAGTAGCAAGCAGAACCTACTGCAATAGTAAGTACAAATGAACACAAAAAACAGAAAATAGGACAAACCTGGTCCAGGTCTGAACCCTTTAAATGCATCTTCTGCATTGATACGACACTCAATTGAGTGCCCTCTGAGCACAATATCTTCCTGCAAATCATATGAACAGTTGAATATATCGTGTTTGATGCTCCAAAACTTTTAGCTGAAACATTTAACTTCATACCTGTTTGTAGCGAAGTTTTTCTCCCGTTGCTACACGAATTTGTTCTTCAATCAAGTCAACAGAGGAAATCATCTCAGTTACAGGATGCTCCACCTGAGTTCAATTGAAAAAAAAAGTACATGATTAGCAGTACTTTTAATTAATCCGATATTAGGTAATTCATGAATCAGAATTCCCAGTCCTTATTCAACCTGGATTCTGGTGTTCATTTCCATGAAGTAGAAGGAACCTCTCTCATCTAAAAGAAACTCAATAGTTCCTACACCAATGTAACCAATAGAAGCTGCAGCAGCAACTGCTGCATCACCCATGGCCTTCCGTAACTCTGGTGTCAATGCTGGAGAAGGTGCCTCTTCTAGAAGTTTTTGATTCCGTCTCTGCATAGCAAGTTACATTCAACAACATTTTATGTCAGTAATCTAGTTATTCTTTCTTTAACAATTAAGAGGCAAGGGGTAAAGAAATAACATTGTGCTGCCAAAAGATTGGTTAATATCCGTAAATTGCAGCAAAGATTTGAGAAATAGCCACCATACTTTTGACTTTGTAAGCATAGTTGCTCCTTTTAAGAGGAGGGTGAAGTATTTGGAGGTTCTTATCAAGAATAGGATGCTTTAATTTCCAACAGGAAATGGTGATCTGATCTGCTTGAAATTCAGAGTTGATAAAGCCATCCAAGGGTTAACGAGTCAAGTTCGGATGATCTTGGGGGTTTCTAGCCGGAAAGTATACCCTAAAGTCCATATTGTTATGATTTAGGATAAAGAATGTAGAAGAATTTTAGGGATTTCAGAATAGAAAAGACTTAGATACAGAAAACTTGTATTCATTCATAAGATAACCCTTAAAGGATTGGTACAAATTATATATATACAGTACCAGCTGTCATAACAGCAAATCCAACAAAATAACCGTCCTAAGCTGACTCACCCTCCAAACTTCTCTCCTAAAATTATTACAACAACTCAAGCCCAACATATAAGCCCACCTGAACTTATATTGGTTTAAGTCTAAATAAGCCCACTGAACACTCCACCCGCCTAAACCTTCAACCCGTGTCTCTTACTCTTCATTATGTCTTCACTTCGATTCCCAAATCCTCAAATAGGATCTCAATCCCTAACCTCCATGTCAATCCCTAAATTCATTCGATCCTCCCCCAATTTCTGCTGTTGCTTCCCAATTCTTCCCTTCGCCATTTCCCCCAAATCAACACGATCAAACCTTAACTTTCCTGTCATCATAACAATACCCCCTTCTCCAGACGATTCTTGTCCCCAAGGATCGAACTGAGGAAACTGTTGTCTCAAAACGGTATAATCCTCCCAAGTTGCTTCTGTTGCTCCCATATTTGTCCACTGAATGAGCAATTGAATGACTGCTCGATTCTGTCTTGTAATCACTCGCTGATCCAAAACAAGGGCTGGGTAAATCTTCAGTTGTCCATCGGACGCGACCTCTGGAGGATCGATCGAGATAAGTCCTTTTTTCCCTACTTTCTTCTTAAGTAAACTTACATGGAAAACTGGATGTATCTTCGAATTTGCTGGCAAATCAAGTTTATAAGCAACTTGACCAATTCTGTTTTGTATCTTGTAGGGTCCAGAATAACGAGCAGCAAGCTTCAAATTTCTTCTTAGGGCCAGTGATGTTTGTCTGTAGGGGTTGGAGCTTCAGGTAAACTTCATCCCCAATTTGAAACTCCCTATCTGTTCGATGTTTGTCACTCATCTGCTTCATTCTGTTGGTAGCTTTAAGTAATTGCTCTCGTAGTAATGAATTTAACTGTTCCCTGTGTTGCATGACATTCTGCACTGCCTCCACCCTAGAGTCTGTTGTCCATGTCACATTAGGAGCTTTATACCCATATAAAGCTTCAAATGGCGTCATTTGTAGAGCAGAGTGGTAATTAGTGTTGTACCACCATTCAGCCTGAGCTAACTGTTTGGACCAAGTCTTTGGTTTCAAGAAACACATACACCTCAAATACTGTTCTAAACACTGATTCAACCTCTCTGTCTGGCCATCTGTCTCAGGATGATAGACAGTATTAAATAATGTAGTTGAACCCAATTGCTTCATTAATTCCTGCCAAAACAGACTAGTAAAAGACTTGTCCCTATCAAAAATAGCCACCTTAGGAGGACCATGTAACTTGTAAACCTGATCAAGATAAACTCTAGCAACTTTCACTACTGTATAGGGATGAGATAGTGACATAAAATGAGCATATTTAGTGAATTTATCAACCACCACCAAAATGCAATTATATTTTGTGGAAGATGGCAAACCTTCAATGAAGTCCATTGTAATCACTTCCCAAGCATTGTTTGGGACTACAATAGGTTGTAACAACCCTGGCTTAGAAATATGTTCTATTTTAGTCCTTTGACACACATCACACTGCTATATATGCTCTTGAATTTGCATTTTCATTATAGGCCAAAAAAATAAGACTTAATTTTCTGATAAGTAGTTTGAATACCTGAGTGACCTCCTTGTGATGAATCATGCAAAGCCACAATTATATTATGCCTCAAATCCCCTTTTCTGCCCACATAAATTCTATTTTTGAAATACAAGACTCCTTTCAATAATTTCCAGTCCTGTAGCTCATCTGGCTTAATAACCAGAATAGGAATTTTTTCTTGGGCTATAACATCATCTTCATAACTCTTTTCAATATCCTGTACCCAAGTAGGAGTTATAACAGTAACTCTCATTTGAACAAATTCACCAGAATCCAGTTGTTGTCTAGAGAG